AGATATTGTGATAACGGTCAAACGGGACGGACGTACGGACGGACAACCCGAAAACATGATGCCTCCGGCACCACCTTCGGTGGCGGAGGCATAAAAAAACCTCTTGTATATTATTAATGACCAATTTATATTTTTTTTAGAACATGTGCGTGGTGTGAACAGGTCCATTTTCACACTCTCTTCTGACGAAGCCACGCAGCCATCTCACACCATCACAACTCAGCTCATGAACCACCTCTTCCTTCTCAAATGATCGATAGATAATAAAACGATATTACTTTTCTCTTAGGTTCGGATATGTGCATCTCTGCAAAGTCATCAAGCAAAACGGCCATGCATCTTCTGTCCAAACAATCGCGGGCACGAAGGAGCAAATTGACATCGAATCTCAACAGTATTTTTCATCTCCAATCCTTGATACTTGGTCAGATAAAGTACAACCATTTTGTTGAAGCAAGCACACTCAACTTTTGCAAAAAATACAGCGAATACCCATGTGGCTGGGGCTTGAATACATCTTATCTGGTGTATTTTTCATGACAAAATAACGAGAGGGGGAGGGGGAGGGGGAGGGGGAGGGGGAGGGGGAGGGGGAGGGGGAGGGGGAGGGGGAGGGGGAGGGGGAGGGGGAGGGGAGGGGGAAGTGTGAAAGTTCTGACCCACACCAAGCACTATGTACATGTGTCAGACAGCAAATCATGTCTGTCACTTGGAATCAGTCTTTCAGATCATATTTCAAGTATCATACATGTAGGGACACTGATTTTCCGTTTCAAAAAATGGCCTTTTCCGTTTCAGAAAATTTGGAATTCCGTTTCAGATGGGCTGAAAAACGGAAATTCCGTTTTACCATAGACTTTGTACACGTGAAAAAACTAAAATTCCGTTTACATAAGATTTTCATTAAAACATGAACTTGTAGGGTACAAATGTTCTATCAAAGCCGCCACCTTTGACAAGCCACTGATAACCACTCAAAAACATAGGGACGGGACTGGATAAACTTGATGCAAAATACGAGTGAAAATATAGACCCCTACGGGCCCTAGAGTCTAGGCTAGACCTACGAAAAATTATTTAAATGTTTAAATTTACCAACTTCAAATTCGAACTTATACAAGCAGACTAAAATCAGCGGAATATGTCAGAACACGACATATTCCTGACGGAAAGGATGAGTACTGACGTCGACGAAAACATTTCAGTCTTGGCTGTCATGTCCGCGATCGATCGATTTTAGGCGCACATGCCAGCCCCTTTTTCGAACTCGTCGCACGTAGCGCCCGCTGCTGGCGTGTGTGTGTGCCTAGTATTACGTCTACGTAATACTAGGCGCCTAGCTGGCATAATAGGATCGTTTCGCTGCCATTTGTACCATGTTTTGTGTCACGATCTCTATTGGTCCAGCGAAACAAAATGGCAGCGCCCGGTCTCCTAAGAATCTGTCGAATATCGCTAAATATTTGTAATTATTAACCATGATTTGAGGCCCTATATTTTTTTTTACTGCATAACGAGTCACAAAAATAGTGTAAGTTTTACGATTTTCTTCTTGAAAAATGAAAAGTTTTGAGATAAAAGGGGTTTTCCGCGATTTTCCGTTCGAAATTGCATTTTCCGTTTCAAATGGTCAATTCCGTGAATTCCGTCGGTTTTCCGTGATCGCGGAAAATCAGTGTCCCTACATATGGCACATTTTTAAGTTTGCCCTGCTTGCATTGCTGTTTAGGAAGTGTATATTGAATGTTATCCTCAATCCCCTTTGGGGTTACATTACATACATGTACCTCATTTGAGCAAACTTAGATCTCCCTTGCCAAAGGATGATTCCTACCACATTTGATTAAAATCTGGCCATGCGTTTTTGTTAGTGACGGTTGAAGGTTTACGGACGATGGACAAAAAGCGACTGTTTGTTAACCATAAACAACTATCATCCCCCAATCCATTGTAATAGAGATCATACCATCGGTGGGGGGTCCCCCGTTATATCTATACATCAGGCCCTTTCAGTGTACTCACTGAGCTGTTGGAAAACCAGGTACATGTAGAATGGATTTGGCTCAAGATACAACCAAAGCCTCCCTAGATAAATTAACCCAATCATTCCGGCTGCTCTTCATCTACCACAAAACACTAACATAGAATACGATCAGATGCCGCAACATACAGTATCTACCTATATTCTACCCTGGGCAAAGTGTACTATTCAGGGATGCCAGTTAGAATTGATCAGAGGGCCTAAAAATCACCTAGAATGAGCTATTTTGTACACAAAAAAGCCTAAACTATGGTCTGAAAATAACTTGCCAGGGCCTGAATTTACGCTTTTGCCTGAACACTGGCATCCCTGACTATTAAGCAGATCACCCATAATGATAAATCATTATAGGTGATTTTAATCACATGCCCGATATGTATTTGAAACAAAACTACAAATTAAAGCATATAGAGCAGAAACTCAAGCTACAGAGTGCTAAGCTTGATCTAATCTACAAAAATATGGCCGAATACAATAATGTCCCTTATTATCATCACTTTTATGAAGGACGTCTGGAGTCTACGGATTTACAGACAACCCCAAAACATAACGGCCTATGGCACCACCTTGGTTGGACGGAGGCATAAAAATCAGTGAGCCTGTGAATTGGAGACTCGTCTCCTAGGGCATCCATCTAAGGGTAATCAACCTAAAATGGGATTCAATAAATAGCCGTCACCAAGTATGAGACTGGCAATGCATATTAATTCTACTGTAGGGAATAGCGACGAAACAAAGAAAAACATCTCCATGCCGCACCGGGACAGCGAGTAAAGAGAGTTTGGTGAAGCAAAGGCCATTAGTAAAACCTGCAAATGGTGATCTTAAAGTGCATCATTTCCCTCGGCAAAGAATTCAATTTAATGGTAGAGTTATTGATTCTGAATCCCCAGACAAGAGATATTATTAACTAAAGCATTGCTCTTTTTATTTTAAGGTTAATTTTGAATATTTGTCTCTTTTGCTGAATAATAATGTAAAATAATTTCAGATCTTTTTCAGATAGATGTTGAGGAGATGATGAATCTTTAATGTCGACTAATAAGTAGGCGTGTTTATCATTTATTTATAATTCTGGGAGTCCAGACTTTGTACATAAGTATTTGTTATTTAGAAACAACTCTAGTACATACAGGTCAACAGGATCTGTTCAAAATGGAGACAACTTTCAAAGTTCGCATTTCTCTTTAAAATTCAATGAACACAGGAAAGGACTTAAACTAATTGATTTTACCCTTCTTGCATCTTTGCAATGTTTAACTGCAGCTCTCAACTTCACCATTCTCATACCTCTGACTGAGGAAAGGTCAAAGAGGCAAATGTATTCAGCTTGTCAACTCTCATTTATCTACTCTAAAACCAGGCACTTCTGCAAAATACATGAAAGGTCAAAGGTCATGACTCGTGCAAGTTTCGTGCTGCAAATTATAAAATTGAATAACAATGAATTTTTTGCAATTCATGAAAGCAGCCTGAATCACAATAGTTGTTGTAGCAAAAGTGGATGTTATTAACAGTAATTAAATCATAATGCTGATTTTTTTTTGCAAATCCTAAAACTTTCTAGCTGCACAATATGCAAATTATTATGGCAAAATGCTTGTAACAGTATTGAATCGATTAAGAAGGCTTCACAGACCCTGATGAAACTACACAAATATATATCTAACCGATTAGCCCTCCAAGTCAGTGTTGTGAAAGAAAGCAAATAACCGGTACGTTAATTGATAATGGAATAACAACTGGTGATGATGCTCATACACGTAGATGGTGCACCCTGGCAAGAACAGCAGCATGAGGCCAATTATATTATCATTACTTTGAGAGTAAATTATACATCTGACATTTCGGATACGTTGCTAAAAGGGACATTGTGTATCTTGTCTTCTTAAGTGCATGAATCTTTCATGGTTTGCTAAATAGCGCAATCTCTTTTTAATGATGCAACTGTTGCTTGAAAGATTGTAAGGAAATAAGTAGTTAGTGTAGAGAAACTTCAGAAAAAAAAGGGAGAGAGAGAGAGAACAAAAAGTAACAGACATGTAATGGATGAATGCTGTAAGGGTGAAAAGACAAAAGAAATACAGATTAAGAGAGGAGACATTAAAATGAAAATGAAAAGGACTCTGAAGAGGCAGGAATTTTAAGGAGATGGATGGAGGACAAGAGACAGAAAGGGAATAGAGAACAAATAGCATAAGGGACATGGAGAGAAAGAGGAAAGATGAGAAGAGATAGAGAGAAATTATACAGAAAAGGGAAAGGAGAAAGAAAGACAGGGAGACAGAAAGAGAGACAGAGAGAGACAGAGAGAGACAGAGAGAGATACAGATAGAGACAGAGAGAGATACAGATACAGACACATAGCCACATGAAAAGAAAGAGAAAGAGAGAGAGACAGACAGAGACAGAGATACATACACACAGACTCATAAAAAGAAAGAGAGACAGAGAGAGACAGAGAAAGAGATACAGACACACATACACATAAAAAGAAAGAGAGAGAGAAAGAGAGAAAATATGGGGGAGGGGGGTGGTGGTAGAGATATCAAGACAATGCAAACAATCATAGTGTATTTTTGTCATCACTCCTGGCAACACACATGGACATCTCATCAAATCTATCCCACTTTCTCGTCCAACTTATCAACACCTCTCTCACCACGAAAACAATCTCATTATAAATGCTCTTTGCAGAAAACACCACCACACAGGGAAAGAGATAGAAAAGGACTTCAGTCAATGAACTAAAATGGGACTGAGTAAATGAAATGTCAACAGGATTGAGGGAACAAATGTAAATGGGATCAAGTTAATGAAAAAAAAATGGAATTGAGTAATGAAATAAAAAAATGGAATTGAGTAATGAAATAAAAATGGAATTGAGTTAATGAAATAAAAAAATTGAGTAAAAATGGGATAGAGTGAAGAGTGAAAGAAATGAAAATAGTTTTCTCACCGAGGCAATTTCTGGTGTTCATGTTGTCGAGCATGTGCGTGGCGCAGGCTTTCTTGATGCGGGGAACCTTCCATTCTTTGGCGACATGATAGACTTCACCGACCAGCTCAGAAGAGACTTCGATCCTGTAGGGGAGCAGATTTAAAGGACAGTCAATTATAAAGGCTCGTTCTTTTATGACGACGTTTAAAGATAAACTTTAGTACTGGTAATGCGACTGCATTGTGAAAGAAAAGGTGTGGAAAGGATCAGAAACAGTTGATCATGTAGCATGTAAGTATTGGTGTGCACTACAAGGTTCTGGAGTCATCAAAATCATAATAAATTTGACCGAGTCTTGGTAAAGTAACAAGCACTGTACACGGAAAGCTATATATGGGACAACACACATGGTGTCGGGGCTGGTACTACCTTGATTTCCTTGTCTTTCTATGCTCATTACTCAGCCAGTATACATTTTCCTCCAACATTGTTTGGCACATGTCATTTATTTGTAATCTTGAACATTCAGTGTAAGTTTCGTTTGATTCTGTGAGAATTAATTTTTTTTTTTTTACCAGTACTCAAGTTTATCTTTAAATTGTAATAGGCATCACATTTATATATCTTACAACACAGAGCCGCGATGAATTATGTGCAAGTCCTTTATTGCGCGTAGTTGCCATAGAAAAGAAAGGTGGCGGCTTTTTTGGAGCAGTTTAGCGCACCATATCTGAACAAGCCTTTAGATTTGGGAAGTGATTTATTGATATGGCACATACACAGTCATAACCTCTTCAGAAAGTAGAAATTGAAATTCTGATCCAGTATAAGAGGCTTAAAGGGACTTTGTAACATTGTTCAGATGAGAGATAGTGGTGCTAAGGTAGTGACTTCAATGCTAGATGTACAATTAAAGATAATCTGAAAATTTGAGTGAAAACGGATCATTATTCATGGTACAAATTGGGAAAAACTGATCTGATCGATTCCTTAATTCTCCCAACTATATTATTCTACTTCTATTCTGCTACTTGTCAAGCCTGTTCAGCATCAAGACAAGGACAATTAAATTACATTTTAGGTGAATGTAAATCGTCACAAAGCAATAAAATGGCTCTACATGCCATTCCAGACAATTAAGTGTCGACAGATTTTTATAGCCTGTTTTATGTATTTTTCTCATGGAAAAACGGTTGGGAAAATTCAAAAATGGTTGGGAGAATTTACTGTTAATCACTGTTAGAGGGTGCCTCACATCGACGCCTTCAAAGAAAACCATAAATATCTTTGTGGTTTGAGAATTTGTTTAGGATTTTTTGCATGTCAGAGGGTTAGTATAGTAGAAGGAATATAGTAAGTAACATTTTATACAAAAATAAGCAATTTTTTTCATCAACCTTCAACAATGTTACCAAGTCACTTTAAAGATAAAGACCAGTTATGGTTATGCGATTGCATTGTGAAAGAAACGTGGAATCGATCAGAAAAGGTTGATCATCTAGCATATATAAGTATTGGTGTGTACTGCAAGGTTCTGGAATCATCAACATGATAACAAATTTGGCCCAGCCTTCGGAAATTTACAAGCACTGTACACAGAAAGATGTATATGGGACTACACACATAAGCGCAACACGTGCGTTTATCTCTCACATCCCAATAGATAAACTAATTTATAAAATATATCAATTAGTAGGCGGTTTCCCAGCAAAATTTTTATCATCATGTATTAGTCAAAACATATTCTTTCACATGATAGGTAATAAGAGCTTCCATTTCATTTTTTGAAATTGGGGCGTTTCCAATACTGGTCTTTATTTTTAATAATAATAATAGCCAGGGCTTGATTAAAATGACTAAAACCTTATTTCAGTACGAACCATATTTTTTTCATTTCGGGACATGGAAATATCAACATATGAGGCATTTGAACTACAAGTTATGATAACCCCAACGCATGATTTTTAGTTTGTAAAACCAGTATCTTTTGCAACTGTCTTTGTCACAGCAAGAATTAATGTTGGTTCTGGTCATGTTGTCCATCAATTAATTCCAGACATGAAACTTACTGGTATATAAAACTTGGCCATTCATTATGTTTCCTGTTATTAACCCTAAGTCCAAGCCATAGAGATTGTATGTTGGAGGGAACTATTTAGAGCTCCATGAATTACCTGTGATCGCATACATGTATGCATGTCACAACTATCGCTCTCAATACGCTATGGTCCAAGCTATTTTTTCTCCTACGTTACCAACATCTAAATTGTAGGATCTGATGACTGTATCAACTTATGTTCGCTATTCCTAATGAACATAGTTTGGACTGACAAGTATCTAAAGCATTCAGGGATCGGTAAAGTTATGCAAGGCTTAATTCTTGAGCGCTATATAAAAAACAGATTATTATTATTATTATTATTATCATTCAGGTGTCAAAATAGAGTCTGTGTAAAAGGACTACATGTGTAGCTTCCAGCCAGGGGCAGGGACCATGTGTACTATTGTCCACAACAGATTGGCAAAGTGACAGCACCCATTACGACAGGATACAACGTAAATCTCAAAAGTGGTTTTTAATTATAAGAAGATTAATGATCGCTCATTCTCAATTAATCAGGGGTACCCATTAGGTACCCATTCTATGTGTTCTAGAACAAATTAGATCATGAGTATGGGATTTTGGAGCTTTAGAAGCAGAGTTAATAACACATTTTACAGGCTGTTATGAGGTTAATCACTACACATACAGGTGCATGTTCACATGCCGCATTTTCTTTTAAAGTATTCCTCTGGGAGCCTATGAAGAAAAAAAAAACATACAAACTTAGACAAATGGATCTTGACACTTAATGCAGTTTTTTAAAGTAAGCTCAAAACCTTTGAAAGAAATGATCCACAAAGAGATATAAACATTGAGAAATGTTGACACTGTTGCTGATGTAGTACAACAATGACATTTACAAATTGTAAAAAAAAAAAAAAGAAGATTTTTCGATGCTAAATCAACAGACGATTCTATTCAGTAATTTAAAGAGATACATATATTTCACAATTTTGTTGTTGTTGTATACATGTACTTACTTTCCAGTGTATGCGAAATTGACCAGGGCTTCGATGGTAGCCGCCGATACCCCATCGACCGTCGTCTTGAGCACACCACTGCGCCGTTTCTCTTCGCGGTTGACGACTTCATTGAAGAATGGGCTCATGCAGGCCAAGACAGCGCCGTGGGCAGGGATCTCATGTTCATCCGTCAGTAGCACCAGATCATGAAACTGGTGCTGCTTGCGCATCTCATTCATGCAGGCCAGGACCGATGCAGGCCACTGGTCTTCCCCGTACTGAAGCGGCGTTTCAGAGAACTTCTTCTTCATCTGAAGGAGATCATCATCTTTAGAATTGAAATAAAAATTAAGAGTAATAATTGCTACATTTGGTTGTAAGACATCTGCTTCTGTGGCAATTGCTCTTACGGAATTTCTTACACTAACAGAATTCCTAACTTTAACCCTGGACCCAACAATATCCCTAGGCCTAAACCCGACATAAAGCCCAATTGCAACCCTAACCCTATACTTCTGAAGTTCTGATAGCAATTGTCGCCACAGAGCACAACTACATTCATATTAGCTATGTATACATATATCCCAAGGGGTGCTGAAAATGCCTACGAAGTACAGTCATTATCTAGGTTTTCAACCAAACTGCCATAGGCATTCAAGGAATTGTATCTCATCTGGTACTAGTCCACTACACCTGGGTAAAGGGTGGCACATGTAGAATAATGGAAAAAATAATCACAAAATGACAAGAGGCAAGGTCTTGTTTCATGAAACACATAATGAACAACAAATGTCACAAATTTATGACAAATTTGCTCCGTCAAATGCACTGAATGATAGGTAGAAACTTGATGATTATCAACTGGCATCAATCATGGACTAAAATTTCACCATAACAATTTTAACGATCATCAGAAGCGAAACCCATTACAATGAATCAACCTTCAATTTTTTAAAACTTATTTCAAACACATAGAGGTGATTGATATTGAGCATAAAATGCTACTGAATCAATCCTTTTGTTATCTGAATTATTTACTCTATACTCTATATATGTTGAAATCATTGTTACATATATTATTTATATATACATTGTGTTTCATATTGTACTTTTGAGAAGGAAATAAATGTAAATAAATACAAACTACAAAATATTTAATTCTCAGTGTAACTTAGTGCCCTACCAAAAAAGTATTCTTCTCTCCTCTTGCATCTCTGTTGATACCAAGTTTCCAAGTCACAGTTGCAAGAAGATAGTACAGTAGGACCACAAGACATGATACCAAAAAAAACGCTCAAAACTCATACTCCCAAGTCCATGACATCTTCACCACAAAGTAACAGAATCTCTCTATGCAAATGTACATATATCCAAGGAACACTGCAGGATCAATCCAAAATGATCATCAGGCAAACAAGTACATGTACAATGCAATTTTTAAAGAAAAGCTTGAAATGAAGACATGTTTATGGAGTAAATGCAAAAATTAACCGAAAGTCGAATCAAGTCAAGCAGTATCAACGGGGACAAAGAGCGCGAAATAGCAAACTAGCTCTGAATGGCAGCATAGATTTCCAGTCTGTACAAGAAACATTTAGTCTCCAGTCCCACGTATACTTTTGTCAATGATCAGACGTCCTTGTGGTACACCTTTGGACCAGCTCTTTCCACATGTGACTGATAAGCTTAATAGCCTTTTTGATCTGTATGTATACCCAGACGAACTCAATGGGTCAGTAGATATGGGTTTATGTGCTATGGACTGATGTTTGACCTTATGAACTCCTGTTTTGACAAGAAATGATAGGACCAAGATAATGAGCTTATCGGTTATGAGTGTATGATACGATTTGATCATAGTCCAGGACAAGACCTCCGGATGAAGGATGTTGTTTAAATGTAGTTCAGCAATAGATTAAAGAGATTAAAGTGATAACTCAAATCACATTGCCGGCATTGTAACAATGATAGAACAAATAAAAACAAACCAAAAGACCCTGTATCATTGACTGCTTTGAGGGGCACGGTTGAAACTATTGCCCAAGGTGATCTTGAAGCTGCATTGTGCCCCGAGATGAAGTCTAGGGGCACAATACAGTTTGAAGATTAATAAGGAGCAACAGTTTTAACCGTGACCTGAAAAAGAACCAGCCAATATTTGTTTTATATACCACATCCCTTGTGTCAATTCTCGATGAGACATACATATATTTTAACAAAATGTTTTTATTTGTTAACTTCACGTGCAACGGTCATGTCCTTGCACTGTGAGCGCAAATAGAACCATGCCTGGTATGTATATTTTGCTATACTACCCCGCAGTTGGAAATAAATTTCAAGCATGGAGTATTGACCAATCAGAGGCCTTTAATTTTCATATTCAGAATATAATAAGTAATTGTTTTCATGACATACATGTACAGTATGTCAAATTGTAATTTTTTAATCTAAATGTACAGATCCTCTTTTCAATTACAAAGTTTTATCCAGAGTTAAAATTAGGGGCATACGTATACAAGACTCTGATAATGTAGAGACCCCCCCCCCCTCCCAATCAACCAATATCATAGCAATAACTATAATTTTTTATGTAGAAAAGGAGATAGATATCGGTATTACTTGCTTATTTGATTTACTTATAGCCTTAACGATCAATTTTCTTATATTGAATACCTTTTCCAAAGATTAACGTTAGTGTTATCCCCATCAATATTTGACTAGCATTAAAAGGATAGGATGGGGAAGGGGAGGGGGAGGGGGGGGGGGGGGGGGGGGGTGGGGAAGGGGGTGAGGTTATATGGATCCTGCAGAGTAAAATCTTGGCAAAACCTCGGACGTTGTTAAAGTCAGCTTACTTACCACATATCAAAATATTTTTTTTTTTTTTTTTTTTTAAAAAAATTAAGGTTATTTGAAATATCAAATTTTGTTGCCATTTTGTGTAAATTACATATATAGAAATATCTACATGCAATACAACTTACCTCCGGAATTCATATTATTATTCATCTTTGGGTGTTTAGCTATAAATCAAAGAGTCGTCTGCACAAGGTGATGTAGTATGGAATGTTGCAAACAGAGCTCACTCTCCTCCTAACGAAGACAGACGAAGGACAAAAAAGGTTTGGCGATTGTGGCAAGTTGCGTTTGGCTTCTACAGTTGTGGTTTGAGTGAGTGTGGATGATTTGTTGGAGTGGTGGAGTAACGGAGTATTAAAGGTAGGAACCTTCAAATATAAGGTGAAGAAGCTGTTTATCAACTTCCATTGGTGAATCTACTGTCCCTTATTCTGCAGAAGGAAGATTAAGAATGAAGGGAGAAACAAGAGAATTATTAATCAAAATGTTTGTTATATGTTCATGACACAATCATAAGATGCATATAGTTTGAAGGCCAAGCATGGAAGCATCTCATTTAAAGCTAATGTGTACATAAAACAGTACAACATACAAAGTGAAGAAGATAAAAACAAGACCTGCTCCTCAATTTTTCACAACAGACATTGTTTTTATTGTAGCTTTTTAATGTAGTGGACATTCACAGTAGGTCAATTCAGCCTTTGGCTCTCGTGACCTCTCAGGTGAGCTAAAAATGATAATGTTTGATTTATTTCATTTATTTTCTCTTTATTGCATATATATACATTGTACATGTACAAATGCTACCTGAACGTGTTCCTATCTAAAAGAATGCAACAAATTCCTATACAACAAGCCTATTGGAAATTATCTTAGGATTTATACCAATAATACTGGGACATTAATTCAATTAACATTTCCAGATTATTCTCTGATACCTCAGTCACACCTTGGCGTATTTGGCTTGCATATTGCTGCTTATTTATGGCAAACTGGTTTAACATTTATTCCTATTTCTTGAATTACCATTGCTTTACAACAGAAAATCATATCTTGATACCATATCTAGATATCAAGAAATAGGAATAAATGTTAAAACGGCTTGCCATAAATATGCAGCAATACGCAAGCCAAATGTGCAAAGGTGTGACCGAGGCATTGGGTACAGTGTACACTGTATGTCGATTCCACATACAATAGATCAATTTACTAATATTTCAATTCAAGCATGTTTCTCTCGTCACCAGTTGTTTCATTCACCTGCTTTTATCCAATGCCATCTCTATGGATGGACTCCTCTTTGCATACATTGATTGTTGCTCTGTCGGCAAGCTTTGTTATTGTCAAGAGAAACTTATCAAAAAGATTGCATAATGTTTTCATTCAATAATTCACAAAAAATGTCATCATTCAGTGTGTAATTGCTTCTTTCTTCTCTCTCCTCTCCAAATAACATTTTAAAGAGAAGGTTGAGTTCTGGGAAGAGGTGAAAAATAATTTTTGAGCATTACTCATTCTTATTATGCAAGTGTGGAAGAACATCAGATAAGACATGTTTCCTGAAAAGCATGGCTCTTCAAATGCCTTCATATTCTAAATATGCATGTAACATCGTAAAAATCAGGGGGGGGGGGGGCTTTTTACGCCACGTGTTTGTGTAGTCCCATACACATCTTTCTGTGTACAGTGTTTGTAAATTTACCAAGACTTGGCCAAATTTCTTATCATTTTGATGATTCCAGAACCTTGCAATACACACAAATTCTTATATGCTAGATGATTAACCTTTTCTGGTCGGTTCCACACCGTTTCTTTCACAATGCAATTGCATGATCAGAACTCAACTTCATCTTTAAGCATCACAACAAAGATATTCTTTTTCTCTTTTTGCTATCCATTACTTCCAGCTTCCACCAGGGATGCCTAATTAAATGAAGACAATCTTGCAATGCCTCGTTGAGATTAGGACTGACCATCGAGACGCTGACGGCCTTCAGCAAAATGTCAAGTAGTCAAGAAGCATACGACAGAGTATCGCAAGTCGAACGGGAAATCTATAAGCTGTAACAACGTGCACGGGTGCTGGGCTGTGATATCTTGACTTGAATGTTAAATCGACATGTCAACATCAAAAAACAATAAATGCAAGCCATCTTGGATTTTAATGCATGCCTACATTATAATCCAAGATGGCGGCCGGCATGTTTTGCCTCTTCTCTTAGACCAATATTATTAATTTCAAAGTCATGAAAAGGCACGCCACTTAATATCAACAAACATGGTCTACAACAACTCCAAATGACAAAATAATCCTAGCTATGCATTTTTGTAAAGCATTTGATAGCCAAAAACTTGAAAAATTTCGACATTTAAAAAAAAAAAAAAAAAAAAAATCTGCCGATTCCCCCCCGCTCATTTTTATTGATCGGCGATCAGAAATTATTATCCGATCTCACCTGATCGGCTCAAAATCGGCCCCTATCCGATGATCGGTTACAGGCCTACTAAAAGGTCCATTTAATTTTCTGTGTAAGGCTGATGCTCTCTACATACACACCACTGGATCTCAAATCTACTGTAGATGTGGACCTACAGGCTAAGTTGAACAATTGCACCATGGGGGTGTCTGTCTAGATGGATTTGATCCTCTCACAACATTTATAAAATAAAGGATCAGCAAGAAACCTTAAAGGGCCCCTCTAATCAAAGCAGGCTTAAAGATAAACTTTAGTACTGGTAATGCGTTTGCATTGTGAAAGAAAAGGTGTGGACAGAATCAGAAACAGTTGATCATGTAGAATGTAAGTATTGGTGTGCACTGCAAGGTTCTGGAGTCATCAAAATCATAATAAATTTGACAGAGTCTTGGTAAAGTAACAAGCACTGTACACAGAAAGCTACATATGGGACAACACACATGGTGTCGGGGCTAATACTACCTTGATTTCCTTGTCTTTCTATGCTCATTACTCAGCCAGTATACATTTTCTTCCAAAATTGTTTGGCACATGTCATTCATTTGTAATCTTGAACATTCAGTGTAAGTTTCGCTTGATTCTGTGAGAGTTAATTTTTTTTGTTTTTTTGTTTTTACCAGAACTGGAGTTTATCTTTAAGTAGAGGTGTTGTGGTCTAGTAGATAAGTCACCTGACTGCAGATCACAAAGTACAGGGTTTGAGTCCCGCCGCAGCACTAATGTCCTTTGACAAGGCTGACAAGAATGCGCACACAAAATAATGTAATGACTGTGGTATGAGTCTAAGCAAAAATCGTCTGCTCGCGAATTCTCAGTGAAAAGGAGTATGATGTAGGCATTAAAAAGGCAGGGTATGATATAATTGAAAGAAAACAAAATTATCCGAAAATTAAATGGCACTTGATACTCCTGGAATGTTTCTGGCCATTTCGTCATTCCTAATTATGAATTACATTGAGATTGTTAGATCCTTAGAATTAGGACAAATACAAGAAAGCTTCTGCAATGAGGACAAATACAAGAAAGCTTCTGCAATGAGGTCAAATGCGTCATCAAGCCAATTGACTGTATTTTCCTTTTTTCGAGGGTTGGAGCTTAGCAAGCACGAGATCTGTGAAAAATGGATGGTTATTATTTTTTGCTTCATATAGAGATTTTCTGAAAAAATCTTAGGCTGGACAATTAATAAGTAGAAGTGTATTCATGTTTTGAAAGGCTAAGTTAGTTGAGTTGGAGGGGCCCTTTTAACAAAAACTCATTACTAAGATAAAATATCCATCCAGCCTCCCGTCAGCCTGCCATAGTTTAGACATTATATTGAGAGACTACAAGCACAAACTCCAATTTGACGTTCAGGCAACTCCACAGAAATTGTTCACTTGCCCCCAAAACATGAAATTGGCAATAACCCTGGAAATGAATTGTATATGTGTGCCATTATTACAAATTTGGTAACATACAAAAGAGCTCAACAGGCTTATGGAGGTTTGTATATATATATCTACTTACATCTTGTGGTCATCTTTCTTGTGAGCCCTTATCAATAATTCACTGTATTCAATAGGTAATGTGATTTGTATAGAATAAAAATAACCTCAAAGGTCAAAAGACATTCATCATCAAACAACCAAAATTAGCTTTGGTCACGGCGAGGCTAAAACAAGGCCGACATTGAGCACATAATTCAATATAGCTCCTGGACATTTGATTACAGCGCAATACTCTGCTGAAAAGGACACTCTCAATAAAGAAGGAGTTGATCTTATAGGTAGAGCCAACTTTTCATATCCAGATGAAAGATGAGAATGATAAAATAAGGGCATGACATTTTCATTAGATGACTATGGCATAAAATAGAATAATAACAGCTACCGGTACATGAACAATTCAAAGGCCTCATGAGAGATTTCCAAACATACATGTAGATGTAGAAAGGAGAGTGAACGAACAAGGAGAATGTGAAAGTACGAATGTACTAAAGAGTATTAGACAGAGAGAGAGAGAGAGAGAGAGAGAGCGAGAGAGACAGAGAGAGAGAGAGAGAGGGAGAGAGAGAGACAGACAGAGACAGACACAGAGAGAGAGAGACAAGCAGACAGATGAGGAAGAGCACACCAATACTCAAACAACATCACATTCACAATGCTGATGATATCCCTTCTGCCTAATAATCAGTGAGTGAACGGCCAATGATAGCCAGCCACACACCTCCATGACCAGTCTTAAATGGCTTTCATGGTGGCACTCTTTCCATAGAAGTTGTCTGCCTTTAAATGACTGAATTTACAATTTAAACAAATCCTTTATATTCCCACCTCTCCCTCCCCCCCAACCACCCCTCCCTTCTTTCTATATTTTTCCCCAAAAAAATCTCATCAACAATTTGGAAAGAATTCAGGTCGTTTCTAGTTTTAAAGGACTAAATCACTGTAGTTTTGTACAGTGTGTAGGAATGGAAAATGTCTTTTCCTATGGATGGAGCTTTAAAACATTGGTTCCTTGCCTTGGTTACAAACCTACGAACAAGTACGTTACTTCGGTTCAATAAATAGTAATCAATAAAGAGGTACAATATATGATAGCAGCAAAACCTACCTGAAGAAAATTCTAGAAATAATGGAAATCCTACTCTTGCAAGAAAATTAGCAACCATGCAACGATGCTTTGAGGCCTTTTGCTTTGGTTACTGCACTTTCTACGAAGAAAATTATGAACCGTCACTATACACCTGTAATATAATTAGTACTTGCTCCCTGGGCAAGAGAGAGGCATAATGCATTAAACTTGTCTCAACTTGGAGGAATATCTGGGCGGTTCATGTAATCATCGCCATTGCAAAGTGAACAAGGCAGGTCACTAATGGAATAGAGTCGTCCAATAATTCTCTTTTCACTTGAAGCTCCTGAAGCATAAGTCACACCATGTACCAAACTCTTGGCTTCCATGCGACGACG